TGATGGAAAGAGTGAGACCTTGAACCTGACAACAACCGTCACTATCCATCACCATGCAGGTAAGGTGTGAACCTTGATAACAAATACCTTGATTGTAAACTTATAATTTAGTATAACTATCGAGGATCATCTAAAAACCTTGATGGAAAGAGTGAGACCTTGAACCTGACAACAACCGTCACTACCCATCACCATGCAGGTAAGGTGTGAACCTTGATAACAAGAACCTTGATTGTAAATTTATAATTTAGTATAACTATCGAGGATCATCTAAAAACCTTGATGGAAAGAGTGAGACCTTGAACCTGACAACAACCGTCACTATCCATCACCATGCAGGTAAGGTGTGAACCTTGATAACAAGTACCTTGATTGTAAATTTATAATTTAGTATAACTATCGAGGATCATCTAAAAACCTTGATGGAAAGAGTGAGACCTTGAACCTGACAAAAACCGTCACTATCCATCACCATGCAGGTAAGGTGTGAACCTTGATAACAAGTACCTTGATTGTAAAATTTATAATTTAGTATAACTATCGAGAATCATCTAAAACCTTGATGGCGAGAGTGAGACCTTGAACCTGACAACAACCTTCACTATCCATCACCATGCAGGTAAGGTGTGAACCTTGATAACAAGTACCTTGATTGTAAATTTATAATTTAGTATAACTATCGAGGATCATCTAAAAACCTTGATGGAAAGAGTGAGACCTTGAACCTGACAACAACCGTCACTACCCATCACCATGCAGGTAAAGTGCAAACCTTGATAACAAGTACCTTGATTGTAAACTTATAATTTAGTATAACTATCGAGGATCATCTAAAACCTTGATAGCGAGAGTGAGACCTTGAACCTGACAACAACCGTCACTATCCATCACCATGCAGGTAAGGTGTGAACCTTGATAACAAGTACCTTGATTGTAAACTTATAATTTAGTATAACTATCGAGGATCATCTAAAAACCTTGATGGAAAGAGTGAGACCTTGAACCTGACAACAACCGTCACTACCCATCACCATGCAGGTAAGGTGTGAACCTTGATAACAAGTACCTTGATTGTAAATTTATAATTTAGTATAACTATCGAGGATCATCTAAAAACCTTGATGGAAAGAGTGAGACCTTGAACCTGACAACAACCGTCACTATCTATCACCATGCAGGTAAGGTGTGAACCTTGATAACAAGTACCTTGATTGTAAACTTATAATTTAGTATAACTATCGAGGATCATCTAAAAACCTTGATGGAAAGAGTGAGACCTTGAACCTGACAACAACCGTCACTATCTATCACCATGCAGGTAAGGTGTGAACCTTGATAACAAGAACCTTTTTGTAAATTTATAATTTAGTATAACTCTCGACGATTATCTAAAACCTTGATGGAAAGAGTGAGGCCTTGAACCTGACAACAACCGTCACTACCCATCACCATGCAGGTAAGGTGAGAACCTTGATAACAAGTACCTTGATTGTAAAATTTATAATTTAGTATAACTATCGAGGATCATCTAAACACCTTGATGGCGAGAGTGAGACCTTGAACCTGACAACAACCGCCACTATCCATCACCATGCAGGTAAGGTGTGAACCTTGATAACAAGTACCTTTATTGTAAACTTATAATTTAGTATCACTAAAACTATGGATCACCTAAAAACCTTGATAACAAGGAGTTTTTTTAATAGTGAGACCTTGAATCTGTCAACAACCCTCACTGTACACCACCATGCAGGTAAGGTACAAACCTCGATAACAAGTACCTTGAATGTAAATTTATAAATCTTTTAGTTTTACTAATTAGCATTATCTGAAACCTTGATAGCAAGAGTCTTTGCAGTAGTGAGGCATTGAACCTGACAACAACATTCACCACCCATCACCATGCAAAATTAATAATCAATCAAGGGAGTTTCACCTTGATAACAAAGACCCTTGATTGTAAATGCATAAATTTTTTTTTAATATATCCTACTTAAAAAGACACCTCTTTTACTTAACCTTAGAAAGTTTTTTTATCATCCCTTGAGACCGGTTGAACAGTACAGTAAAACATTTTTTGCAAGCATAAAAAACACTAGTGATAGTGGTTTAAATACTTTACTCTAACAATCGGATTGCAAGAATAAGGTATTTAAACCACTATCATTATTTATTATTCGCAATCCGGAGGCTACTCACACCACAATGAACATAAAAAGGCCTTTTTAGCAAAAGCCTTTTGAAAGTTTGAAGATTTATATTTTACTAGATGCTCTAAACTTCTAGTCTTCAATTGAAAATATTACTACGTAGTTTAGAAATTAACTTTTGGGACAATCTGTATACGCACATTCAATTGATTCAATAAGAGATTCAAATATAGATAGATATAGATGGATTCAATATAGATTCAATTCATGACTTATTCCTGTCTCGACCCCATGGCTGAATAACCCATAAGCTTACGAAAATTATTTTATTATTGAATGGTAAAACCAAATTACAAGGTACGACAAACATAATTAAAAATACTTTGCCAGCAATTTTGATTACAACTTCAAATTATGTATTTTGTATGAGTAGTACGTGTTTTTATCCCGGAAACTACCGGTTAATTATTGTAGTTAAGTTCTACCATTGAAAAGTTATACCAAAACTATTATTTTCAGCTAAAATTAGTTGTAACGGACTTTTTATTATACTCGGTCGTCCATGCCCTTTTGCAAAGCTTTGGTAAAGCTACTACAGTATTAGAAATTACTATTAAAAATCAGTTCCTTAACTATATTTCAAGGTTTTGTTAGTTATGATCATCGATGTATAATAACCCCCTATGTAGAGTTATTATACATCGATGGTTATTATACTCGACTCGACATTTTAAATCACTTGACTGATCACTGTTGACTTGCCAGTTCATCAACATTGTTGACCGTGCCTTCAACTGGCCTTACGCAATATTAGTACAAAGTGTTCGCAATATAGTTGTATATAGAAAGAGATCTTTGACTCTCGACTGTCCCTCTCTGTATAAATAAGAAGTTTATTTTCAATACTTATAGACACTATTAGTTTTAAAATTATTATTCTTGGAAATACTTTTTAAAAGAACTTTGTAATTGAGTAGGTATACTACTGCATTACATATTTCAGGTTCCGTGCAAAGGTCAAAACTAATAATGTAGGTAAAAAAACTATTTTTATAAAACACTAGCTGGCCCGACAGACGTCGTCCTGTCCTAATGTGGTTTTATGTCAAATGCTCAGTCATTTTCAATATGAACTCGTTCGCATGGCTCAATCATGTCCTGGTTGGAGCTCGTTCGCTGTGCTCACTTGCCTTCAGGTTAACACTTCAATATAGGTAATATAGGTTACACTTCGTTTTCAAAAGGTTTACGGTTAACAAAATGTACAGATATTATTTTATTGTTTTGTCACAGAACTTCAACCATTCTGTTAATCTGATATAATAGATTTTTTTTCTGTGCTTTATTATTATGGCTGCAGCTTAGATTGATAATATTACTATAATAATGGAGTAAGTGAAACCATTTCAAAAACATTTTCGTATTTCTGTCCGTATCTTTTTGCAGCCTAGTAACGTTACCCGTGTTTAATGACACAATAAATTAATTGGTTAGTTGGTCTTTAAAAGCTAGTTTACCATGGATAAGGATTAAATCGTTAGTAAATAAATCTTTACTTACGATTGATTGTAGTACTGAAGTTATTTTCTATAATCAATAATTTTATTAACACAAGTAATAACATATTGTGATAGAGGGTAAACGTGCATAGAAAACTAGATACATAACTATTTGTGTTGTTTTAAATTTCTAAAATATAAATTTTCCCTCTCAAGCTTTAAACTATATAGATTAAACGTTGGGCTTATACTCCATACATCTTGGGTTAGTCTATGTTTTAACTTAAGTCAAATAACCCATTTGGCTTTCTATTGACGTAACACTTAGAATTTAATGTCAAATATATTCGCACAGCACCATAATTAGAAAATTAAATCAAGTATCAAGTGGTAATTGAAGATTTGATGCTACTGGATTAGCGTCAAATTGTCCTTGAACATCCAATGTCGCAGCAATCGAGCAAACGCCACAGCCACACTTATTAGGAAGGAGGAGAAACGGCGACGTGATTTGGTTGGAGATGGCAGTGTTGTAGTTTGTATTTGTAGTAGACACTGGCACACTTACCACCACTTACCACTTACTTCCACGGACGAAGAGTTGGAAGTGTAACCAATAAATAAATCAACTGTTCATCAAAAAAATGAATGGGTCTAATAGTAAACCTACGCTATCAATGGAAGTTTAGCCTAAAAAGATGTACTTCAAACTCTCCATTAATTTTAGATTGGACATTACCTATACGGGTTTTATTTCGTAAAGGATTTCGTAAAGGAAACTGGTAGTAAAATTGATAAATGAAAAGAAAATTATATAATTGATTTATAATTGACAAATATTACTTGGGTGAATAGTATATAGTAAAATTATTTCCTAAAGAAAATTTTATTATCCCTACTGAAATGAAATGAAATGTCTTTCGTACTCCTCACGCGTAGCCTACTCCTACGCAGTTCACGTGAAGACTAAGTAAACAAAACAAACGTCAATATATCAAAACCATTTTGTGTACGATTATAAGAGGTTTTTACAGTACATTATAACAATGCCTTTAGAAAAGGGATTTTTCTCCAAGAAAAGTCCTCAAAGCTGTGGACGTATGCGTTGAAGGTGTGCTACACAAAACGTCGGATCACGGCAATAATTAACCAAACCTGATAAAAAACATTATTCGTGCTTATTGTGTTTTGTGAATTTAATCGTCGTAAGTAAAGTGTCTTGATATCACATTTCGTTTTGATAAAGGCATTATCAAAGAACTCGCACACCGAGGTTTGCACGAGATTTGAACCCTGGGACAGAACAGAAGTCCCGCGCTCTATAGGCCACGCTTTATAGTTTACATGCACTATGGTGGAAGTAAGTCTTCCACCATGTATATGCCCTGCCCGTGAGATGTCAATAAGATTTTTTAACTTGTTCTGGTAGCCGCTTTATTCCGCACGACACTCGCACTTTCGCCGGTCGACTTGAGGAACCGGTCCATTCCATCGTTCCTTCTGTCGCCCGACGTTCCGATTCTACGATTCCAGCTGACACGGATAGACAAAGACGTCCTGTTTTTTCTCCATCTATCACCGTTGTTGACCTCAAGACGACAGTCACGTGATAAACTTGTCTCGAGTCGTGCTAGGAAGTGAAACTACAGTCGTCAGTGGAACTCGTTAATATAACAATCATCATTGGGTAGACAGATTGTCTTTATAATTGATAAATTAACAGTCTGTCAAGGGCGTCGTCAGGATATTTTTTGTATGGGGGGGGGGGGTGAGTCAGATTTACCTTATGTATTTAACTATCTGATAAACTAAAATATAGGATGCACTTTTTTGGATCTTGTGATCAAAATATTTATCAAGAAAGATTTTAATTCACAATGATTGAAAAAAAATGTTTGTTTAAGGTCTTTGGTCACCTCTGCTGCCTTTCCCAAAGCAGTCTACAAGTGCCTGACGAGTCTAACACTAATCGTTAATCGTAGACAATATTGTACATTAATTATTCTTTCTTTGCAGGCCTATCTTTGCATTGTCGTGTTTGGAACAGTCCTTTTGGCCTCAACAGACGCTGGGTACTACAAGCGCCCTCCTCCTCCCAGCAAGTTGCACTACCTTCCCAAACCACCTCACCATCTTTACAACAAACCAAACTTTCACTCCTATCGTCCCGCACCCATCCACGCCCCTCGCAACCCCATCAGACCTCCTCCTCGTCCTTACATACACAAGCCGAATCCACCTTCACCTCCACCCTTTCCGCCAGCCTCTTGGAAGTCTCACAACAACTTCCGCGCCCCAGTGGTAAAGGAGCAGTTCCTTTCTTCTCCGCTATCTTTCACGCCTGAGGTCACTCAGCATTTCCTTCAGGATGATGATAAAGGACCCATCCACACCATCCCGGCACCCAACCTGAGCCCGGCAGACAAGCCACCTAACTTTGACCAAGAGCAGCACAACCCAGCACTGAATGCTGTGCTCAAGCATGCGGCTGAAGCAGTCAGAGCCAAACCTACCACATACCAGGTATGGTTGTTTGATCAATACTGTTTCTAATAGTTCAAAGTCCTAATTGTATAATGAAGCTAGGAAAAGATATTTAAATTTTGGCAAAAGGAAATCAATTAAGGAAGATTATATCTCTTTTCAATATTTGTATCTATTTTACTCTAGCGTGGGAGCAGGGCCAGGTGGCTGTGATGGTAGTAAGTCAGCTGGGTTGCTGAGGGGTTCCTGAGTTAGGGTTATAGCGCTCACCTAACAATTAACAGGTAGCCAGTTTGATCCTGAAAAAGGTCTATAGCTTTTTGGAGGTTCATAAAATGGGAAACTGGGTCAAGCTATCCTCAATAGTTGGGCTTTTAATGGATAGTCCTGGCGTAGAAAACAACTGATCAGGGCCAGTAACAAAGCTAAGTAGTTCATTCATTCTTCATTGATCTTGCATCCCTAATCAGATTAAAAACACACCCCGTGATTGTCATGATACCTCAAAAGTAATGGTGATAAGCCATAGCTTAAGATATTTTTAATCTCTTAATTTAACTCTACTTAACATTTTAACCGGAAAGCTTTTCTACATTTTGTAGTACCTATAACCTAAAGTGATGTTGCTTCTTGCTATTTTAACATATTTGTATTAAATTTCTTTAGGTCACTGAGGATCCAAGCGTCTACAAGCCGTTCTCTGGAACTTCAAGCTACTTCGCCCCCGACCCTGACCCTAGTCTTCCTACCATCGAGGTGCCTCAGACCAAGGACCCTTACTCTGTACCCAGCAATGGAGTCACACCCTTGGACCTGTACCAACAACAGGTAGCAGATCAGCAGGGGCAACAATATACTGATGGTGAGTATGGTCATTGATAGAAATAGACATAGCGTTCCTAGGTCTACGTTCAAGTCATAAACAGTTTTAGATTAATTAACGTTGTTGAATTGAGTGTAGAGTGTACCTACAGAGTGCACTGATGTCAAGTACTAACTTCTGTCTTTCAAATCAAAGCAAACTAAACTGAAGTGACAATAACTTATTATGAACTTTAGCATCTTCTACAGAAAACAACACTTTTTGTCTCCTACAGCATTGAAAATAAAAATATTAGGAAAGAATTTAATTTTGACAGTAGCGCATTTAGTGAGTGTTCTTTTAACTATTTTGTAATTGAAAAAAAAATGGCTAGAGCTGGTCCATAGATGAGCATGAGATCGAGATCTCTAATTCAGAATCCAAAAGTCAGCGATAGAAGAGGAACATTTATAAGTGAGTTGAGAGGTCTGACTTTCTATTTGCTCTACTTGGAGTATTAAAAGGTTTATCAGAAATTTCTAACTTTGAAAAAGGTTTCAATTTTGTAAAACTCAAGTCATGTTAATTCCACATATAGTAGAACCATGATAACAAGACTCATATGAGTTAAGACTTGTTGTCAACGTTGACTTCTTATCGAGGTTTGCAATAACATTGTGATTAGGGGTGAAAAACATGCTGAAACCCCTTGGGCTGTAGGTCTGCCCCTCCTACAATAAACACAATACGGGGTAAAATAAATTTGATGGAGAAGAGAAGAAGAATTCTAGGTGATTTGAAAATGATACTTGTTTTCAAAGGTGACTTGTTATCTAGGGTCTTCTTATCGAGATACAGTAACTGTAAACTTGAATTTTAGATACTGGAGAAAAATTCCATTCAAATAACAAACCAAAAGTAGAACCATGATCAAAACCAAGCTAGTAAAATTGTCTTTTTATTGATAACCAGAAGGTAAACATTTTGATATATAATTTTTTTTTTAATTTTCCCATTAGGTCTGGACAGGTTCTGTGTAAAATTTGCTTTATGACCTTTTTATTAAAAAAAGTATATACCCCTTTAAATAGATTAACACTACAGTCCAATTTCAATATAGAGCTGAGAAAATTATGTTTTTGGATGATTTCGTTTTTACACAATTATAAATTTCTGATTTCTTACTTGGAAAATATTTGGTTTAATTGTTCAGTTCCCCTACTTGTGGTAGAATGAGGAAAAAATACAACTAATAATATTTTTATCAATATTAATTTTACGGTGTTTCTGATCATATCCTTAGGCACCAAATAGTATTTTTATCCATAGTTACAGGCAACTAGGTATCTTAAAACTTAAAAACATATCACGTAAAGTGTACACTTTACGACCCTGACCTTCAGAACAAGCCTGACAAAACGGTAGTTTTCCCTCCAGAAAGTTTTGTTGGGTGACATGCAGCCTGATGGGAGACAGTGATGGTCAAAACAACCTGCTCCTGACATTTAGAACTTTCGCTGAGACTCCAGCCCACATTTTATTCAGACCACTTTCACTAAATTATAGGTAGTAATCTTGGCTATGTCCTTGAACAGTGATACTTAGTTTCAAGGGCATGTTGAGAATGTTGGAATTATTGTAATATTGCTATCTACGTTTATGAAGTAAATTGTATAATGTAGTATATATTTATATAGGTTTGTTCTTCATTCTATGCATTACAAAGCTGTCCATCCACTCACTATGAAATTTTGGAAATCTTTCTATGCCATGATGAGTTGATTTCTGCCTTATTACAAATATTAAAATATGCCCCTGATATATTCTAGTTGCATTTTCAAACTTGTGAGCATGATTTTATTGATGAATTTAAATCTTGACCTGAATGAAAATAACCATACTTGCTTTGATTCGTTTTGACAATTTATTTATTTTACATTACTAACATAAACAACCACCAATTTGTTTAAATACTTTTAACAAATCTTAAATAGTTTCTCATGCATCCGGTTTCACTCTTTGTTATGGAATTTTGCCTAGAGATTAGTTTTTATCTAAAATTATATATCTTTGGTCATTTGAGGCAAATAAACAGACTGTGATCAAATTTAAATTTGTAACTAAGATTTTAAAAAGGTAAGCGTCCAATGGAAGGAGAGAGTGCTCTTGCACTCAGCTGTTTTGAAGGTGCAACTTGATTTTCAGTTTTCTAACTCAGTTTTTATCTGCTGAAATTTAACTTGACATCAATATTTGAAAAAGTGAAAAAAAAAACTGGCAGTCGGTGGTCAGTTTTTTAGCCGTGCACGTGTTTTTAATGTTTTTGTGTCGTGTTTTGTGTTGTTCATGTATTATTTATTAAATTTTGATGCAATGAATTTGTAGAAATCCCATAAAAAATGTAGATAGTGATTTAGTTTGGTGTATGACTATGCAAACGACAATGGAGTGATCTCCGAAACAGCCGAAGTGCTATAACTTCGATTCAGAAGACTATAAGTCAGTAGCCTATATATTTTATCATCTACTAAAATTGGTTTATTACAAACCAAAAACATTTAATCGCTGAAATAATATCAACTGTGTAATGTGTGTCTTAGTACACCCGTTTAGTACACCCGCCGCGGAATAGTTCGGACACACGTCGTGTGCATTCATGACACGTCAAACGGTTCCAATCGTGATATCCAAAATCCGCTGACATGGCAACTTTAGAGGTTTGAGGAATTGCAGTGTGCTGACGTTCTTTGAGCAGCGATTCGTTGACACTCCTGCTCAAGATGATCGGCCTGTTGTTAATTATTTTTGTACGTCCACAAGAACTTAAATTATTTCTCTCCTTTTATTGAGACATTTGGTGAGAAATATGAGCTGGTTGGAACTAGCTCGGTTGTAGACGAAGAGGCGAAATTTGTTTCCTGACGATCGATTTTAGTGTAGCTTCTCTCCCTTTTGGATTATGTATATTCGCTTCGGAGGTCTTCCGCGTTTCATTCTTAATATTGTAAATTAACCTTGAAAACATTTAACAGTAATATGTATGTAATGTAAACCAAACTGAATATAACTATTCTTTAAAACGTTTAGTCCAAACTAACCAATACAGTTATTTTTGTTTACACGTAAATCAAAATGATGGAAGGGAAAATAATTTGTATCAGCTGTTTTTGTAAATTTCAGCTACAAAAAGGTATTGACGATAACATGGGCACTTTCAATGGCTGTAGGAGGAAACTGGATTTTCCCAGCCTTGTGACCAACTACAATATATTTCTCGTGGCCAAATCCCCCATATTAAAGAAAACTCCTCGGACAGAAAACAAGTTTGCCCATACATGCGTTTAGATTATAGGATTGTGGAAATGTAGACACAATCACTCATCTACCAATAATCCTACTCCAACTGTCTGTTCAGGATCTGTAAGTGGGAGCACGCTGAGTCCTCACGACCTGTATCAGCTGCTACATAATGCTCAACAACACCAACAACAACAACAACAACAACAGATGACACCTCAGTTGTACCAGCAGTATCTACAAGCTGCCTCAGCACACCAGCCAGCAACCAGTGAAGTCTTTCAGCAGGTGTTTCAAACTGGACTACTTTACCCACATTATCAACAACAGGTAATGTCTGTTATGACCATCAAGGGTCAATAGAAATGATTTAATTTTTAATTTATTAACCTAAAATATTTGTATTTTTGTTTCTGATCAATGTTTTTCCTTTCTGAAACGATACTTTGCAGCTTTTTTAGTTCACTGGTGTTCAGTCTTCTTTAAATTATCTATTATCAATTTTCCACACTCTTCTATTCCCAAAGAACAAATACATTGATAGGCACCCATATTTTTCGACAACAATAGGGAGCATTCCCACACTGGTTATTTTACGACCATGCCACTGGTGGGAAAGTAACTAAAACATAACTAAATTACAACACAAACCCAGCCTATGATGGAAAATCAATTTTTATATTGAACTGACTTCACCAGCATCTTAATAGTAGTTTAGGCAATGATTGCTTTAACACTATTAACGCGAGTTGCGTACACTACTTTACCTACGACTGTGTTTTAATTACAAAAAAATCACTACTCATAACTTCTAAGAGAGGTTTTCTTTTCGTTTATAACCTCCTATTGCCTCTGACAGTGATGCAACGAAACATTGTACTAAATACTAATTACACCACTCTATACAATTAAATTGGGCTGAACAGCTGATTAGTTGAAGTTTGAATCATTACATTTTGACTTCTTCTCTCTCAATCCTTGAACATCATTGGTCCGTTACCCGTGTTGTTATGAGTAAAACTATGCTGTTATGAAAGTAAACAATGCTGTTATGCGAAACTCTTCAATTCTAAGAACTGAACTGAAACGGCTACTTTAAAAAACATTCATAGCTCAAACTATTAACACTACATGTATGTGATTTTTCAATATAATCAAGAAATAATATTTAACAATTTCACAGGTGACTCACTTCACTCCACAAAACTTCCATCCACAGTTTGAGAACTTCAACTACAACGAGCAAACGCAAGAGAGCGCCCACGGCTCCGACAGTTTTCCATCCGCCTCCTCAATCAATGTTGGTGTAAAGCGAGCAGTCAACAAGGACACTGGTTCGGGAAACAGCGCCAACAGCATCAAAGACTATCTGGACAAGACGCAAGCAGAGTCTAATGAAGTGGGAGTCATCAGTAACCAGGTGGACTATGAAGACGAAGACAGTACAGAGACCATTGAGAAGGAAACTTTCCCGAACTTGAGAAATGTTTATTACACGTCTCTGCCAAACAAACAAACAGCAGACGCTCTAGCAACTCTAGCAGCTGCCGGTAGCATCAACCATCAGATGTCAATAGGTCCAGGCAACATCCAAGCGAGAGAAGAAGAAATGAGGAAACAGAAGATGAGGGAAGAAGAGTTGAGAGCTGAAGAAGAAAGGAAACGGCAGATAATCAGACATGAAGAAAAAGAGAGAGCGAATGAAATCAGGTATTACGAGGAGCAGAGAGAACAAAGCAGAAATCAAGAAATGCAAGAGCAACAAAATAGACAGGTTTTCAAAGATACAAGCGACAAGCAAAATTTTAGAAATCAAGATGAAAGGGAATCACAAAAGAGCGGTAAAGAAAACCAACAAGTCTTCACAGGTTCTGATTACAGTGAGGAGGAAATAATGGAAACTTCAGATAAAGACCAAAGAAATACCAACAGTCACATGCCAATAATTTCTATGAGACCGTTTGATGGATCCTATAGAGAGGGAGCTGAAAAAGAATCCCAAACGGAAGAGCAAAGTTACGAGGATTCTGATGCTGACTATTCACAAGAAGAGGTTAAAGAGATTAACAACGCAAACAAAATGACTCAACCTCCACCAACTGAAAAAACTGTCAACTACAACTCTCATCAAAACCAACTTCCGTTCGGTGCCAAATTAAGACCAAAACGAGTTTAGAAATATTTTTTATGAGTTTTGTACAGTACCTAGCATTTTATTTATTTATTTTTTAGCTACGTGTGTGTGATGAATCGAAAAGTGTTATATATTTCTACTGTACATATTGTAATTAAAGTTATCATGAATAAGATTGGAGTTCCACAGATATTTTATGTAGGCCTACATTAAGTAATAATATAAATTTTTACAATGCTATTTATTACACTCCACAGCACACAAAACATAAAATAAAACTTCCACATTGTATGCAGATTGTGTGTTGTGGATATAATATTTTTGTATACTGTAGTGATAAAATAAATTATTTTTTATAACTATTTTAAATGGAGAGTCTTGTTTCCTTGGATAAGAATCTTCCAAAAATGAATTTAAACTCAACAAAATTTTAAACCAAATTAACCATCATTAACCTCAAAACGTCCCTTGCTAAGTGCAGATACTTAGTAGGGTTTGTAAGTTAGGCAAAAGGGTATTACATTTTAATTTCTTCACTAATTTAAATACTATTACACAAAATGTGTACAAGCGGTTCCCGGTTCCTTTTCCTGGGCCCTGTTTCATAAAACTACTAGTCTAGTATTTACTAGTCCATGGACTAGTAATACTAGTGTATTTTACAAGTCTACGTTTCAAAAACCTACTAGTGTAAAATACTAGTTACTAGTGTAGGGACTAGTATTACTAGTGGTTTTTACTAGTGTATACAGCAATGTGTTTCATAAAGTTTTACTCTTGTAAATTACACTGGTAAATACTTGTCATTTTCTAACAACCTCTCTACACCCGTATTATTAGAAGTAGACTAGTATTTTTGAAAAGAGAGTTATTTCATTACTCACACCATTAAAAAAAATTAATTATTAAGTTCTTTTTGCAAGTGAGAATTGGCTCACGTTTGCAATTTAAGATAAAAAATAAATCTGTGAGTGCTAAAATGATAATTATTAGATATAAATTACAATCAATAAACGTGGCGTAGTACAAAATGAGAGAAATAGAATTTTATAATGTATGTACAATCGCCCTATTAGAATTAATTATAATTATAAGTTATCAATTTCTGTGAAATTTTAGTCTAATTTTACTTGAGTTAAATTTCATGGTTTTATCAACTATTTAGCTATCACAGAGAAAAGATTTTTAAGCTTTGAGAGAAACCAAATTAAAACCGCATACCGTATTGCATACAAAGATGTAACAAATGTATCCAACATTGCAACATTAATCAGATTATTTTACACCCAAGGCTAGGTTTTATTTAAAGACATTTTAATAGGGAATAATAGTAAGACAATTTTAAAGAGGAGTTGCATTGTACTTTTTGAGGTGCTTATTGTTTGCTTCCCTAAATAGCTAAAACCCTGTGATGTACTAACAATTTTGTAGGCCTATATTTGATTTTTGGGCGTTGAACTGAACTGCTTATCATGAAAACATTACTTTTAATCCATTTTGGTATTCTGAACTTCTTATTCAAAGTAATACAAAAATTAGATATTGATTAGAGCTGTTATTTTAATGTAAAAACATGTAAAAGTAAAAGTTTAATTAATGGAATAAAAAGTATAGTGAGTGGCGCGGATTTGAACCAGGGACCCGCCACATGACTAGCAAGAACTCTTATCTCTGAGCTACGCCCTGCCGTAGCGACTATGCAATGGTTTACTTTAATTGAAAACCTACTTCTCCATTGCTTGTAACGGCGTTGCAATTATTTATTACATCAATAAACGTTTAGGATTATTATTCATGGTTTGTAGACTCAAAATTAGAATATCACCAAATGGTTTTTAACCCAAATATCCTTATGCATTCGAATATTTGAAAACATAGGTAAGGGTACTTGAAACCGTTCCAATAAACAAAATGTCCGTAGACGATTTAATTACATTCAAAATTTGAGCCTTCTTTTCTTTACTCATTGCAAGCTTAATTTTATATGTCAGAATAAAACAAAAACTATACAAATCACAGCGAATGCGGCAGCAACAGATCAACTTCCACCCAACTCTGTTGAGCGCCGCAACTAGGCCTACAACCGGCTAAACAATCACCGTGTTGATTGCAGCGACGCGACGCCGCGCCGCGCCGGCGTGTCGGCGGGCTCATTGATGAACATAAATAATAGAGGTTTGATAAATAATGTGTGATTGTTTAACTTATGTGTCTATATAGTTATTAATTAGAAGAAAACACTGCGTTTCTACAACTATTTACTTTTTGTATCAAATGAAAACAAAATTTAAACTCTTTATAAAGGGTTTGAAAACCCGTGATTGAGGTTAGAAATTTGTTTTGAAAGTTTACCTTGTAAAGTTGGTCACGTGACTAGTAGTTTTGGTCACGTGACTAGTAAATTACACTAGTATTTACCAGCGATATAAAAACGTTTATGAAACACAAATTAGTAGGACAGGTAAATACGGGACTAGTATTTACTAGACTAGTATTTTTATGAAACAGGGCCCTGGCCTTCCAAGATAGGTAAGTCCCATAAGCCAAATCAGGTTCAAACCACTTATGGTTTATACAGAAGATAAGAAAAAGAAAGTGTTTTCATTCGGGGCCTTCCCAGAAATCCAAATGAGACAAGTCTAATTGGGATGTCAATGAAATAACAGGATTCAATGAAATCACACATCCAGTTATCCTAATAATTATAAACTTTATTAACACTGAAATGGCCAGTACATATGTGCACTTCAAACGCAGAAGGCACAGTTTCACTAACAATGACTACACATAACTGAAGCACCTTCAACAGAAAACATCTGTGAGAGTATCATGTGTTATATAATTTTCAGACATTAACATTACATAACCTCACAACATTACAGTCTAAACGAATACATACAATAGGATATAACATTTGATTCTGCCACCAAGTAAGACAACCACAAGCCTAACTAATTTAAACACTTAAAACATCCTTAAAATGGAATAAAACAAGAAATTTGAATCAAAATTACTCATACTGGATTTTACTAACAAGAACAAAATGTTTTTTAAATGCAATCAACATTTAACAGCTATATTATAGAAACGGAAACAAGGTTTTCACAAACTATAACTCCACAAAAATTAAAAATAAGAGGAGGAAGTACAAAATACCATAGTTTATGACAGAAGCTTGTCCTTAATCATAGGGCTTTTAATAATTAGACCAGCTGTTTTATTAGTCAGGACCATTAATTATAAACGAAACAACTGATCTACACCAGCAACAAAGCGGTACGATCATCTTACTCTATTCCACACTCACCTTTCATGCATATTAAGCTTGAAATGCGTACACAAGTCTTTCCAAGTAAAATAAAAAGTTCCGATTAAATATTAAATGTAAAGTTAAACAAAAAACCATTATCGATGAGGTAGATCTAGCATTTAAGTGACATTGATATTTTGATTGCATACCGTTGTTTATTGTAAAACCAGGTAAAAACTAAGAAAAGGTTATAAAAATACATCTTTGATGCTAGCTGCAGTGACACATATGTCGAGTACAAAAATATTCCTACTGTATACTGTGTGCGGAAGGATCCCAGGATTTAAGGATCTACTTGTCCTTGACCTCTGGGTTGTCCTTGTAAATCCTCAGGTTGAGGGCGGTGGCGAGACCCAGCCAAGCGAGGTAAGGTAGCATGATGTAGCCGGCAGTGGGGTGGACCTTGTAGAAGAGGATGGTTGTTCCTACAGCAGCAATGTCCAGCAGTGTGATGTCAATCAGACCCTATAACAAAAGTTTTAACCAGTTACCAAATTATGTTGTAGAGAGAAGCAAACAGAACGCATGGATTTGACAAGACAAGATCAAATGGAATCACAGCAGCGATCCTATGTGAGGCCAGGGAGTGTTGAGCGAAGTCTAAATGTCGCAACGTCCAATGATATAAGTCAATGTCACGGCGTACAAAATATAATTTTTACCTTGCTTACAACGTCCAATATAAACTATTCGACTGTTACACGTAGTCAAAATCTCATCATGTCCAAGAGTAGGCCTACAGTAACTGAAAAAACATAATCTTTCTGTTTCTACAAGCTTTGGACGTCATGGCATTGGTCGTCGGTCAACAGCATACTTAATACTCTTAAAACCTTAACAAGAAGCTAAACAACATCATTTTTGAAGTTGGTTCAATAATGAGTATTATTGTATTTTTTTTGGCACCACACCCTCGAAAGCCGCTGCCAGTTGCACAACATCCAATAGCTCAGTGCTGTTGCAGAACGTCCAGAGCTCCTGCATATGGAACAAGGTTAGATTAGTTTAGCTTAAGTTAGGTTAGGGGTTAGTATGCACTACAGACGTTGAAACAATCCTCAGAGTGTGCAGGCGCTCTGGACGTCGTAGGACAGCGCTTACAGCTATTGGGCGTGGTGCAACTGCTACTATTTTAACAGTGTAAAATGGCCCTGTTTCTCGACCACCAATCGATATCCAAAGCTTGTAGAAATACTATGTTTATTACAGTTACTGTACTTTTGGACATGGTGAGATTTGGACGCCGTACAACAGCTCAAAAGTTATATTTCGGACGATGTGTCACTGACTTGTCTTTGGACGTCGTGCAATGCATCCAATAGCCACCAATCTGTTATAAAGAGTACAGATTCATGATAATCAATGGAAAATGGAAATCAATTATATACATCATAGGGTTGTTATGTAGCATAAGAACAATGAGTAAACAAACATGTTTTGCTACTGCAATAACCATACTATTTAATGGCAATTTAAGTTCCAGACTAACTTAATATACATATTGAAGTTTTAATTAACTAAGACGGTTTATTATAAATGTAATTCACAAGAATTTTGAAAAGTTGAATGTATGTGTATTTTAAGAATTAACTATTTACTTGTTAAAATTATCAACATATTCAAAATTAACTGCAGGAATATTGAAGACATTAAGTTTTAAACATCCCTAGGGATATAATTATAACATATGTAAAGGAAATGATTTTGAAATGATTTTTGTAGATTGATTTCATGAGATTGAACTGTGAATGTAACACGGTTAATTTTGAAGTGGCCTGAAAATCTGGCATTGACTAAATGATAACTTATCATATCACCTCAATACAGGCAACAATAGACAACACGATAAGATTACAATTTACTATTTAGTATTTTCTAAAAATGATTGTAACGGTGATTGGGGAAAAATGGCAAAATATCATAAAAATGTAATTTATTACTTAAATTAACGCACCCTAATGCAGTTATCAAGGTATCAAAGTAAATGAGTAGCCTACAGATGATAAATCATCAGATAATAAATCTTTACAACTTAATAATTGTGGATCACATAAGTTAGATCAATCTTTTGTTATCCCCCAATTCTTTATTTTGTTGAGGTGCATTGGTTATGTTTTAAACCAATCAAACACCCTCATTGTTAGTTTTCAATACATTTTTTAAAAACTACACTTTGTTAATTAAAAACCGTTTTAAGTCTGTAGTTTTTATCCTCTAAAAATAGATTGGTCTTTACTCAAAAAACATTTGTTTTTTTACACTTTTTTTCTTTTCAATGAGTGTTTGTTTAGTCAATTCATTTGGACTTTTTTATCACATTATTATGTAAGGTTATAAGCTTTGGTCAAACTGTAATGTGTTTGTGATAGCATATTTATACAGAGTGTCCTGTAAGTAAACAGCCCACTCTGGGAAATTGTGTTATGGGTCAAAACAAAATAAAACAAAAGTCAAGAATTTTTCCAATTGTTAGCAAGTTATTCCCTACTTATTGTTTTGTTTTTTGGTACCATTCCTTCTCTTTTCTTTAAAAAAAAGTTGGCTGTCTCTTTTAACCTTATTTGCTCGTCCACATCGACTAAATGCCCGTGCGTGGAACGTATCCAGCAAAGCAAGGGGTGAGCCGGTACAGTACGAAGATGAACTGTACTGATAAAAATGTTTGTGGCGGTGAACACGATCTGAACCCACAACATGGCTGCCTTGGGCCCGAAGCCCGCGACGCTACCAACTGACAAATCTAAAATCTGTCACTGACAAAGGTCCAAACAAGCTAGATTCTACAGCTAGCTGATTAACTATTCAGTTTTAATCTACAATCACAAGTACTTACCCCTTTGATGGATTTCTGACCAAAAAATATTGGTGACCAGGCGAAGTTCAAAGCCAGCTGCGTACCATAAGCTGCTAGTGTCAACTGGTTTGATCCTGCAGTATAAAAATGAGTGTTAGAATTTGATAAAGGCTAATCCAGGCCCGCGGTTTGCAAGTGATGCGCTGTAGACCGTAGAGAAAATTGCGCCCGTCTTCACCTAACCTTGTGGGGGAATTTGTCTCCTCCTTGCCCCCCAAAACAAACCTCTTGCACCCCAGAGCCCGTTTATTAAAGTGGCCCTGGGCTAGACATCATATTATTGCTTTCACATGCCTGATTTTCATAGGTAATTTGTTTCTCTGCTTGTCAACCATTTTGTAACCAGATGTATTAAAACTTTTTTTATGGTAGCATAGCCTAATGATGACTGATAGGTAAATATTGAAAATTGTATATAAATCGGCTACCTACTTTTGGTAATTTACAGATTACACTTGGTTACTTGGTACACTTGGAACATATAAACATTTTGTGTCAAAACAAGTAGCTAAGAGTAACCTATGGATAACAGCATCAGGTATTTAAATTGCTATAATGGCCTTTTGCTCTTTTCTGAATTATTCATTTTTAAGGATCAATAGGTTAAAAGAAGGGTGATTAATTGTTTGGTTTAAGCCCAAATATATTACTCTAATGAAACCCCAAGTGAGGCCTTAAATTTAATGAAACGTGATAGTAGGCCTACTCCTACTGCTGTACATGGTTGTTGTTACTGGGCTATGTCCACCACAAAATGCACAGTGCAGCAAAATTTGGAATTTGTAATTAAAAAGCCTGAATTATATTTTGTAGTTCTTAGTTTAGACGACCCACCACTAAATCCACCGCCTTCTTTCCAGACCAAGTAAGAAGCGTATCCCATTCCAGCGTAGAGAGATGTCCAGACGATAGGGAAGGCTAGCCTTGGGGGCTTCCAGTCAGGCTTTTTCAGAGACTGCAAGAACAAATTAGGTTATAGTACGAACCTTTAAAACTATCCTGTTGAGGCATAATTGAGGGTTGAATTGCTTAATAGACAAATATAGACACTTATAGCCTAAATATTAGAACATCAACTTGAAATTCAATGGAATGATTTTATCTTAATCAAATTATTATCAAACACTGACACAATTTTACCATAATTTATAAGGCTTTTAATTCTTCTCAACTTAAATACTAGTCTCCAGCTTTATGGTGTCAAATGTTGTTAACAAACAAAATTTTGGATGAGAGACAAATCTTTTGTCAGTGCAACCATGTGCCTCTTGCCTATGCATAAGGTAGACAACGAGATTCTAAGATTCCAATTCTAGATTTTAAGTTTCTCAAGACAACAAGATTGCCTGCGCATAAGATTACAACCTATTCTAAGTTACATTTCTTTTGTTCAACTGCAATTTACAGCACGTAAGACTGTAACTGCACTCTAAGAACATAATTTGTAACTTACTTAAATGCAAATAAACTTGTCTCACTTGGGACAAAGGATTAAATTCCAGATTTAACAATGCCAAATAAAAAAAATATAGCTTATCGCAAGGTACTAGCAGTGACTATTTGATAAAATAGTCAAATGTACTAGCCTATTATTAGCAGTGTTGGGAAGTAGCGCGCTACAAGTAGCGACGCTACAGTAGCGCGCTACTTTTTTTGTAGCGTTAGCTGTAGCTACGCTACTTTTAAGATTTTGTAGCTTTAGCTGTAGCTAGCTACATTTTTAAAGTAGTTGTAGCGGAATTTTAGCTACTTTTCTCGCTACATTAACATTGTTTGAGATAGTGATTTTTATCATAACCTCAACCTTACGTGAAACAACCTCTTTCTCAAACTGAGATTTTCAAAAAAAATTAGGCCTACTTTCTTGGCTTCACACAGCTGGTTGCAGCCGTTTCATTCCCTATTACAACGTTGTGTGGACATGGAGGCCATTAAATGAGTGTTATACACATTTTTGGCTCTCATTTCCTTAATTTTCTACTCTATGATTAGTGTCAGATAAATAAAATCGCTAGATGCAGATTGCAGACGACGTTTAAACGTTACCGGTGACAAGAGAAGCTATTAGAATGCTTGCAAGTGATAGACAGGGAAATTAGTAATAAATTTAGTTTCTTTATTATATCGTTAGTGTTTCAACTTGGGTTTTAATGGAAACCAACCCTAAACCTTAAAATAATGTAAAGCTGGTCTATCAACCTTTGCTTCAGCTGTTGATTGTGGTTCACCATCACAAGCCCTTCCTTGGTTAGATTACAAAGATTTTTCAAAGGTTTACTAAATTAACAAAGAGGAAATTACCTGATGAGATTTAAGATATGCCTAGACTACATGATAATTTTACTGAAAAAATCTCCATATAACATGAAACTTGCATTGAAAAAACAGCTCTTGTATAGGACTATTCCTAGGCTATACTATGGTTTAAGACGAATACCAAGTTCCAAGTTCAATTATTAGGAATATATCTGTTTAGTCCTTACAAGAACAAGCCTACTATACTTTATACTTACTTTATACTTTCTTATGAAATGGCGACCATACAATGTAGGTATTTTAAGCCAAGTATGAATGGAGATGAGTGTAAGATGAGTGGCGCGATCTTGTTACATAGCCAAGGCCTACATGTTATTTTTACTTTACAAATTTCAACATGTTTAAATTAAAAGCCGATTTCTGGATAAGTTGCTGAATGCTGTTTTCTGTACCAACTAGGTTGAAGCACAATTTGCCCTATGCATAATGACAATAAAGGACGATTTCTTGACTTGACATTGAAAAGTGTTATTCATAGAACAAGTAACTTATCACTATGGTTAAAAGTTATAGCAATGTCGTTTTTCACATTAAAAGTAAAGAAAGGCAATAAACTCCAATTTCAGTAGGCTAGGCTCTGTAACACAAAAAAGTATTTTTAAATAATCGTTTCGTTTTACACTTTATTGGTCTTAATTGTTGATATAAGACATCTATAAATGAATCTATATTAAAGAAATAATAAAATGAATGAGCTTTTAAAATATCGTTTGGTTGTATGTCCTTTGAACTTAATGAAATTTACAAATGAGATGCTTAAAAATAATGCAATATTTAAAATAAGTACTAAATATGATATGGGACACCCAACTATTTAGTTCTGTTGTTGTAATGTTAGGTTTATAATTCCAACAAATTAAATACAATCTATGAATAATTTGTTTTCCAAGTACTGTTAGATACAATACCGTACTGACATTTTTGTTTAAATGTTTGTTCAATAAAAAATGTAGTTGCAATTAATTTTACATTCACCTAATGTGCGTGGAATAAAAAGTAACGACTTTGGAAAAGTAGCTAAAATTGTAGCTGTAGCTACATTTCATTGTAGCTGTAGTTGTAGCTAGCTACTTTTTCGGAGCTGTAGCTGTAGCTGTAGCTAAGCTACTTTTTTGGAAATGTAGCAGTAGTTGTAGCTAGCTACATTTTAAAAGTAGCTTCCCCAACACTGATTATTAGTAGTATACAATATTAGTAGTACCCTACTGGAATCTTTTATGTTGCATGTGTTCTTGAGGAAATGATTTAACAGTAGTGAATTCTAATAGGCCTAGTGAGTAAAGTCATTGCCTATAGGCCTACACAGAATAGACTTCCCACCCAATGTAAAAATTTGAGCACAAAAAGCGCTCAAAAATGATGGTTGGGATGGTGTAATCTGTTGAAATAGTCTACCAACTATTGACAATATTCTGTGTCAAAGGAAAAATCAATCAGCTGTTTGCTATGATACTGCATTGATTTCAATTCATATTTTAACCCAATACACTAATACCCTCTGATAGATGGTCCTAAAAATCTATTTTCTTGGCTTCATATTTTTACATTGGATCGAAGGAAGGTCTACTTGGTGTAGCCTATAGTCAATGGTTAGGCCTAAGCTTATTTTTTATTCACCATCATTTTTTTAAAGTTCCTTCTATGAAAGTGAATTAACTTAGCCTACCAAAACATGCTAGGTGGTTAAATACTTACGTCATACCACGCTCCATAGTTCTCTCTGCCAAGGTACCCACTGAGATGTCCTCCAACGAGGGGCAGAGCCACCGCTCCAACTGCAGGCCATGAGATTGGTGATGAGGACATTATGCCGCTGAAACAAGAATTAAAGAATAGTTAGTAGTCTATTTAATTTGGTTATTATCATGATCATGGGGGGCACATGAACATTCACAATTGTAGGTATAAATAGGCCTAGTTTCATTTTTTATTTTATTTTACTGTATTTTCAGGCACGACTTTAACAGCTGACACTTGGGAACTGTCAAAACATGACTTGTTTGGCATTACCCTGCTCGGGTAATTTTCGTCTTGGGATGTTGCGGGTGGTACCACTGGATAGCCATTGATTTTATCTTCTTTGTGGTATTGATATTTAGAACGAAATATTGATTGCACAACGGGTACAATTTTATGAAAACAGCTGTTTTTGAAATTTGTAACAAATGGCCAACCAGCGTAAAACGCTAGTACGGAAAATACGAATTACATACAGTGTAAGTTATTATTACTAGTCATATAATATGTCACTTTGAAGAGGACGAAATGTAGCTTGTGATAGTGGCAGCCCTGCGCTCATGATTATTTTCGTTTTCTCTCAGTAAGACGACGAAAGTGCGTCACTACTGTCAAGGTCTCATACACAAAGTGCCTTGTATTCGCCATTTGTTGCCATTGCATGTTGTTGCCAGTGAGTTTGTTTTCGCTCTCGTTTTATCCGCGATTTATTACTAAATTCGTTATTATTTCTTATTGTCAGAGAAATGTGTGTGTGTCATATAACAGTAATCTTCATGCATTTTATTATGCATGAATATTTACTGAATAGTGTGAAATTGTGTTTATAAAAGGTTGTATTTTTCTTGAGGTTGAATTTTGCGGTTTTCGTTTATTATAACTTATTATTATGCCCCTAACACATACAAACAAAAATTGTTACCCAACATGTTATACATTTTTATGTAGGTAATTGAATACACTACAAGATGATTATGTCGGTTTGAAGTAAAAACATTTGGTGCAAAAGTTTTGTACTAGCCTAAATACTATGAATCTTTTCATCACTAAATCACTAAAATATAAAAACATTATTTTATTTACAAATAAAAATTATTTTTACCATAGGCCTAAACTTTACAACTTTTTAGGATTCCTTACTTCATTAGCTTTACAATAATGTATTAAGTTTACCTATATCATTATTAGTATACAAATACATCATATAACCAGTGTTGGGGAAGCTACAGTACTTTTAAAATGTAGCTAGCTACAACTACTGCTACATTTCCAAAAAAGTAGCTTAGCTACAGCTACATTTCCAAAAAAAGTAGCTTAGCTACAGCTACAGTTCCGAAAAAGTAGTTAACTACAAACAGCTACAGCTACAATGAAATGTAGCTATAGCTACAGTTTTAGCTACTTTTCCAAAAGATGTTACTTTTATTCCATACACATTAGGTAAATCTACATAAAACTAAAAATAAAACTACATAAACCTAAAAATAAGTTAGTTCGGTGTTCCATCATATTTAGAACCTATTTTTCAGCATCTTTATGTATATTTCATTAAGTTCAAAGGACATACAACCAAAATATATTTTAAAAGCCCATTTTATTTATTTAATGCACATTCATTTATAGACAAGTAGCCGGTATCCCTGGTTAGGATTGAGGGGAAACCCTCTCTCCGATGGGTTGCTTCGGCAGCCGGTGAGCCTGATGACCTTAAGTCATCCTCCCATGATGTGCCAAAGGTTGGTGCATTAGCTTCAGCCTACATCATGGGGCCCGGGTATGTTTAATTACAGGTACCGGGCTTGCAGTCAGGGAGCTTGCTCTTATGACAAAACGAAATGCGAAAATGCGAATGAACCACATCCATAACCTAGTCCGGCTTGGTTGGCAACAAATTATGCAAATGAGATGAGATGTAAAGGCACTGTTGTATTTCCGAATATTTGTATGTAGTGAGGTTTAAATGCATTGTTCGACCTAGCTAGATATCTACATCAAAGTAAAAACCCTTCCCCCCTTTTTAATACATGAACTGCCATTAATTCACCTACTGCACCAAACCATAGATTAAACCTTCTCCATGCATAATCTATTCCAAAACCTGGAACACAGCTCACATCCTCATCATCTACAAATGATTATTGAAAGTAGACCAAAAAAGCAAGTGCAAAAAACCTCTACAATAAATATAAGCTAACACAAAGAGGAATTGTTAAAACCCTTTGAGTGCCAACGTCCGGGGAACCGGACGTTTTTAAAACGAGCCAAAAGTGCCGACGTCCGGCCGACCGGACGTTTTAAGAACGAGCCAAAAGTGCCAACGTCCGGCTGACCGGACGTTTCGTAATGATCGAACAGTTGTCATAACAATCGAATGGATACTCGGATTCTTTTAATCCATATATTAACATTGAGTCGAAAGTTACTAGATGCGATACATCAATTTTCGTTGGTCGAAATATTGAAAATTCGATTTTTACGAAATTTTAACCTAAAAATCGCCAGATCGCGCTCGGCATTTTTAGCGCGACCTTCGGGAAAAATCATCGGCATTTTTTGAGCGTTACTTTTATTTCTCGCCTGGCACTCTAAGGGTTAAATCTGTTTCTTTGACATTGATAAATCCAACTGATTCTATAATATAAATTTTTTTAAGTGCTTAGTGCAAGCATAGATTTTTGAACAAAAAATTAAAAAAACATATCATAAATTCATAATTTTGTTCAAACTATAAAAAGCTTGCGATGCAGTGAAGAATAAATTTTAAAATCATAAATATTAATGTAAACGTTTAATTTTGACAGTTTCAGTAAATGCTCATAACACTTGACCTTTGAAATACAATTTTAAAATTAACAGCTGGTTCATTAAAAGTAGTGTAAAATTATGGGGAATGTTGCTGGAAGACAACAGTCCCGGAAGATCAAATAATTTATACCTGTGCCGCTAGGTCAAAAACTACAATGTTTGCAGTGTCTGTAGATCAAAAGTCCCAGTAAGTCAAATAATACAGTCCGAGCTAAAAACGTGGTCTATGTCAAAGCAATTGACTTATTGGGAATTTGACCTAATGCAGCAGCAGTTTTAATATAACGAAATACGGTAAAATACAAGTTCAGTTTCGCTGAGTCAACAGTGCCGGAAGATCAAAAGCAATAAAAGTGAACGTCGATTCAGTGTAAAGTAGACCTCCTGCAACGCTTACTACACTAACAAAACTCGCTTTTAGTTACTTCGTGTTTTGTCATAATTAGAATAGAGCTAAAATTATCATATTTGGTACATAGCTTATCTATTAATGCTTCTTGCCAACTGTTTGGTCAACACTGTAAATAGGTATAGCCTTTCGTCAAAATTTGTGGCATAAAATACCCGCAAGGACGATCTGAAAATTTCTGGTTATCATATACGTTTGTAAAAGGAGATCCATTTAATTGTAGAACTATTTTATGAGTTATAATGTAGTCTACATACAGTGTGTAAATTAAGTCTGGCACACATTTTTTATCTTTTTTTCTATAGTAGATAGAAGAAATCAATTTTCGGGACTGATTAATAACAAATATTAGGCACTTTTTACAAATTTTGAAAATAAAAATTCCCTTAAGGGCAAGGGATGGTGGGGGGTAACTAAAAATTTTCAAATGACAACCCTCATCTTGTGACCCCTCATTTTAAAGGTCATTGGAAGAAAAATCCAAAGATGTGTCTGAAAAAATTTTTTTTGCACCCTATCCAAGATGGTGGTTTAAAATGTACTTAGGGTTGAACGGGTAAATTAGGTATGGCACACATTTCTTATATTTTTTACTCTTTGTAGATAGAAGGAATTAATTTGCGGGACTGAGTAAGAACAAATGTTTGGCACTTTTTCATAATTTTGAAAAAAATTCCCCTTAAGGAAAAGGTGGGGGTGGGGGGTAACTAAAAATTTTCAAATGACAACCCCCATCTTTTGACCCCTTATTTTAAAGGTATTTGGAAGACAAATTTAACTATGTGTCTGAAATTTTTTTTTGCATCCTGTCTAATATGGCGGCCTAAAGTGTACTTAGGGTTGAACGGGTGAATTAAGTCTGAAACACATTAAATTTTTTTTAAGACACACGTTAAATTTGTCTTCCAAATACCTTTAAAATGAGGGGTCACAAGATGGGGGTTGTCATTTGAAAAATTTTAGTTACCACCCACCCCCTCCTTCTCTTTAAGGGGAATTTTTTTCAAAATTATTTCAAAAAGTGCCAAACATTTGTTCTTACTTAGTCCCGAAAATTAATTCCTTCTAATCTACAAAGAGTAAAAAAGATAAGAAATGTGTGCCATACCTAATTTACCCGTTCAACCCTAAGTACATTTTTAACCGCCATCTTGGATAGGGTGCAAAAAATTTTTTTCAGACACATCTTTGGATTTGTCTTCCAATGACCTTTAAAATTAGGGGTCACAAGATGGGGGTTGTCGTTTGAAAATTTTTAGTTACCCCCCACTCCCCCTTGCCCTTAAGGGAATTTTTATTTTCAAAATTTGTAAAAAGTGCCTAACATTTGTTATTAATCAGTCCCGCAAATTGATTTCTTCTATCTACTATAGAAAAAAAGATAAAAAATGTGTGCCAGACTTAATTTACACACTGTATAAACTGTATCAATGTATTACGCCTCGGAAGGGTTGAAACCTGTCCAAACTATCATATATATTATTAAAACGTAAATGGGGGTTTTTCACGATTCTGAATCAACCAGACGATGGGTTTTCATTAGTTTTGTGTTGAAAGAAAGACAATTTTGAGAACTAGGGAATTTCAAAGCTATAATTTAAAATTAGTGTCCCAGTTTTAGTTTTTAAAAAGTCTAGCAGCCGATGCTAACCTTCTCCAATAAGTCAATGCTTCTAGCTAGCTTTTAGTACAATATAATTTGCTTAACATAACAGCTGTAACATTCAGCATTTGTGACACAAATTCAGCATTTGGAAGAAAATTCAAATACATACTTATGGTTGGCTTATTTATACTATGTGTAATGCTGACCATTGATACATTTAATTCTTCGGTACGATGATGGCAGATTAATTAAATAT